CCCTCTCGACCTTCGCTATAGGCTAAAGAGTCCCAGGTCCCTCAGCCTCTCCTTGTATGGCTTATCCTGCAAGTCCCGGATCATACAGGTGGCTCTTCTCTGGACCCTCTCAAGTTTTCCCACATCCTTATTGAAGTGCAGCACCCTCCAGCCACACGCGCAGAGCACAGCGGGAGTATCACCTCCTTAGTTTCACACGAGACACATCAGTTGACGCATGCCAGCATGTTATGCGCCCTGCTGACAGCTGCCTCGCACCCACGGCTCCTATTCCCAAATCCACGCAATGCCTAGTTATGACATAAACGCATTAAATTACTCATCTATAATTGATCCAATGCAACATCCCAGGTTATTTCTGGTGAAAACAGAGTATCAGGCCTCGCTTCGCAAACCAACCCCCCAGTTTATAACGCCGTGTTGACGTAAGCCGCGGTTTCTAGCGACCGCTTGCGTTGTTACGTGTAAGGACTGCCCGACCTGCAGGGAGAACCGAAAAATCGGCCAGCGGCACTTTGGGTGGCATCGATTGGAAGGGGCGGCATGTGTGCTCTGTCCGAATTTGGGCGCCAAAACACGTTAAAAGGCCTCCCAAATCTTTTTTCGGGCCGGTATTCACCCGGGGCCACCCTGTGACACGGCCTCTGGTCTGCTGACGGGATGACCGCGGATTTCAAGGCCCTGGACCCCACGCAGCACTCACCCCCCAGCAGCTTGGGCACCTTCCCGATGCGGCCCGTGATCTCGGCCGTCAGCACCGCGAAGTCCTGCTCGTAGCCCTCGAAGTCAGAGGACATGGTGGCGGTGGCGGGGCCGATGCTGGCGACGCCCGACCTACGGACCCCGAGTGTCTCCGCGGCGCCGGGAAGCCGCTTCCGCGTTGTGCGCCACCCAAATGTGCCCCCCCCCCCCACTCTGCTCCCCGCACAAATGGTTCCTACCCGCCTCCCGGCCACGCCCCTTGGGGAAAGCCCCGAGACGCGCCTGTTTCCGGGGGGACCGCGTTCGGCGGAGAACCGCCGGGCCGGAAGGGCTGAGGGTGAAGTGAAGGGAAGGGCTTCGCTTCCGCCCGGCGACTGGGACATCCTGGAAGTGCTTGAGTGGGGGCAGCGCGGCATGGTGACGGCCTGGGGCGGTGCTGGGGTGAGCAAGGGGATGGGGCGGCCGGGGACGGGGCTGTCTCTATGGTACCGGAGGGGCCCGGGGCACCTTTTCGAGGGGCCCGGGGCACGCTTCAGTGTGGGGGAGGGGCTTGGGGCACCTTTCAGTGTTGGGGAGGGGCACCCTTAAAGGGGGGGCGTGGGGCACTTTTAAAG